CAATTTTATGAAAAACATATCTTGAGGTTTTAAACTGTAAACCTCATGAAATTTTAGACCTCTATGAACTTTCATATAAATGTCAATATCGAGGAGTAAATTTCAAGAATATTACCTCAATTTTCAAGAAAATTTTGATTCAATACCTGATCTTCAAAACCTTTCGCAAAAGTATTTGACCTTTTACAATCTTTTCACTTAAAGTCCATTAGCCCATTACCAGGTGACTAGCAGGTCACTTTGGGCCAAATTGCAAAATCCGAATTTCTATTTTTTCACATTGACCCCCATTTCTTCCTTCTCTTCTCCTTATACTCCCATAAATTATATTCTTTTCTTTTTCAACACACTCCCCTTTAATTTTTTTTCTCTCCATTCTTTTTCCCATCTTTTCTTTTATTTTGTGTTTTTTCTTTCTTTTTTTCTTATTCGCTATTCTTTCAATCTTTTTTTCCTTTCTTTTCCTTTTGATCATTTTTTAACTCTTTATTTATTTTTTTGTTCATTTTCACTTTTTATCATTTCTTTCCTTTTTGCTTTAATTTTCTCCATCTTGTCCTCTTTTTTTATTTTTTCCTTTTTAAAATTCTTTTCACTATTTTAATTTTCTGTATTTGTTTCCGTTTGCTATGTTTTTCTTTAGTTCCTTTTCGAAATCTTCCTTTTATGCCTTTTCTCAGTTCTTACCTTTTTCACTATTTTAATTTTCTGTATTTGTTTTAAACATGTTTGAAAAACATTTTTATGATGTGTGAAATGCAATGAAAAGAATTTTAGCCTAAAGAGCCAAGGTGTAAAGGTTGGGTCGGTCATGATCACAATTATGACCGACTCAACAACACTAAGACTACGGTCTTCGTTCTTGGTCTTCTTTTGGGTCTTGTTCTCTTACTTTCTTCTTATATTTATTTCTCGCTTTGTATATTCAACTTGTCTCGTTCACGGCGGTTTGGCATTATCAAAACCTGTCACAAAAACAGACACGGCTTTAGTACGAAAACACGATAAACCCGTGTTTCAACACAAACGTCATTTTCAATTCTGAACTTCTTCATATCCCATAAAGTTGTAATGAAAATTAAGGAATCCGTTTTTCAAAATCTTTTGAAGCTTTGTCCTGTTAAAGAGTTGTAGCATGAATGGGTGATTGGTAGTTTTCTTTGTTCGGTAATTGCGTAGTACTTTGACTCTCATCCGTAGATAAACATTATTTTCTTTCAAATCTTCTTTGAAAGTGCATCTCTGATCTGTGCATGCATTCGATCTCCCTAACAATGCAAAGAAAAAACAGTATATAACAATCCTTACAACATTCTTAATGTATATATACTCCCTCCGTCCCGGAGTATTCGTCCACTTTTGACTTTTGAAACTGTTCATCTAAACACTTTGACTCATCAAATTCTCTCAATGTGTAAGCCTAAATATAGTCATGTGTGATCTTGTTTGATTTGTCTTAACATATAGATTATTAATATATAATTTCTATAATTTTTTAATATACAAATTACAAGATAAAATGGATTAAAGAAGTGTATTGGATGGTGTGTAAAAATTAAAGTGGACAAATACTCTGGTACGGAGGTAGTACGTAATTTAGATTCCTATTAATGAAAAAACTAACCTCTGAGTCATCAAAAATAACATCCATTGATTCGGGGCCCCTAGCATGGGCAGAAACATGATAAAATCTTATCGCTCTCAGTTTTAGCATCAAAAGCGATGGGGAGTTGATATATGCGCTCCAATTAAGTTATTGGCGCTCCACCATCTTTGTTTCTTTTAATAAAATGACCATCTTGCCCTCCTTCAATTATAAAGTAGCTATCCTATTACCAACAGATTTTCTGTACAAAAGGTTACAAACAAAAAACAACAAAAAAATAGGCAGCCTGTCCAAATATCTCTTGTACCAAAAAACTCAAAATCCTTCATGTTTCAGTATTGCAGTTTATAAATAGACAATACTCTACTAATGTACTCTACGGTACCAGATTTTAATTTGTTCATACATGACAAAAAATAGTATCACAGAGGGACATGATAAAAAAAGGTTCAAAAATCATGTTCCAATGGATGCAATAATAATTGAATCTCTTTATCGACAGTTCAACCTTCACGTGAATGCCTTCATATGAGTGGTTATGGACCTGCATAAACAATTTTATCATATTTATTTATGTATTTTTATTGACAAATTCCGAGAAGAAGAAAAAAATTATGACACAATATGAAGTACCTAAGAAAATGTTTACCTTCATCAACTCAGCATTAAGCATACTAATGGTTCATATACCTTACTTCCTGCACCAAAAGTCAGTACAAAAAAAACCCTACAAAAAAACAATTTAATAGGTAGAAGTAGACTATAGTGCTAAAAGATAAAAAAATTGTGAATACGTACAGGTAATGCGAAGTACCATTTAATTCAGATCCTTGTTCACACATGACCTAATATTATGTCCCAAGCCACCACATTTGCTGCATCTATGATTTCTCTCAACAATTTCATGCTCTGAGCTATCTCGTCGAGTGGAGGTAACTTGTCTTCTTTTTTTTGAATTTGAAACGCGACCTCTACGAGGATTAATATCCGGTTCTTGAACCCTTAAACTTGATGGTTCATCAAAAAGTTTAGAGATTTGCTTTTGGGTATCAACTTTTTGAGACAAAGGCATCTTTTGATATTTCTTTTTCAATTCATTAAAAAAATCAGCGAATTGATCATCATGGTAGCAAGTGTCATTGTCAAAAGATCTCCCATCAATTCTCCATTGTGGATGTATCTCATCAAGATCTATTCTTCCATTTAGATTCCGCCTTAGTTTATGTGCACAAGGGAGTCCCATGGTATTTTGGAAATGTCCTCGGCACTCATCCAATACTCTATTAGATGAGTCCAATTTATATTGATTTAAAAGCTGTTCAAGTGCATGTTTAGAGACATTTCCAAGAAGCCCACAAAACAAAGGAACACGAAAACCGTGTGAGGTGCGAATTCTTTCACATTGAAGTTTTACCTTGATTTCTTTGACTTGATTTTCAATGGCAAGACATATTTTTTCTTTCACCTCTCGAAGATTACGTGTTGATACTTGAAGATACTTTTTGAGTGTTGAATGAGCACCCTCTGCTTTTGAGCTTGCATGATTCTTGAAATGTAAATGTCTTTCTGTCCATGCATACACAAACCTTTCTTTGTATGGAAGCCAAGTGTTTTTTATATAATCAATTGCCAATGGCTTGTCTTTGTGTTTCTCTTCTAATAAACTCCATTTGTCATTGAAGCTTGCTTCATCAGTAGAATATATCACATCACTCCAACTTGACAAAATTTCATCAAAATCATCACCTTTCTCAAAAAATTTCTTACATTTAGCAAGCACATTCTTATGTATATGCCATACACAAAGAAGATGTGTGGTTTGTGGAAAGACTACTTGGATGGCATTCATTAATGCTAACTCCCTATCCGTAACAATAACTATGGGAAAATTCTCAACACCCAAAATCTTTTTAAATCTTTCAAGAGCCCAAATGTAATCTTCTTCTTCCTCTTTCTGCATGAACACAATGCAAGAGTAGAATGATGTATTAAAACTTGATACCCCAATAACATCAAGAAGGGGCATATTGTATTTGTTCGTCTTGTATGTGCAGTCCATGATAAACACATAAGGAAAATTCTTCGTCAAAACAACTGAGCTAGGGTGTATGAAAAATAGATGTGTTAAACGATCATATTCATCACGCTCAATGTAAAAAATGAATCCACCATCACCTAGCTCTTCAAACAATGCCTCAATCATGGTACGCCCCCCTAAATCTTCTTTTTTTATCTTAGCTCTTGCATTATATAAAGATCTTGAATTTGCTTGAAGATCCGGATTGCTTTTACGAAGTGCAGACATGATTTCCCGAGGTGTTGAACCAGCCATAGACAATGTTTTCACAATTTGCATCTCATCGATTGAAAATCTACGACACATAGGATGCCCTGACATATCTTCTGAAGGCTCATGATTATGTGATAAGTTCTTAATGTCTAGCACCCAAAAACTTCCTTTTCTCTTTCCCCATACCTCAAACGGGCAATTTATGAGGCGACTACCAGTAAATCTTTTTCTTTTATCGGCAGGAACTGTTGAACGATGTGTTCCACCTCTATCACACCCCAGAATCACATAATACTTTGGTTTAGATTTTCTTATAATCACCACAAACCCTTGCCCTAAAGCAACTCTCTGGACATAATTTTGAAGGTCAACACGGCTATGAAATTGTATAGTGCATGAACTCAGAAAATCAGATCCATTGTTCTGGTCTTCTTTCACTATTTCATGGGATGTGTCACCTGTAAACATTAATTCTTATTGAAAACTACTTTCACCTAAAACACCCAAAGTTCAATTTACAAACCATAACTTCAAAAATGCATTCAATTTAATAAAACATTCAACTCTCACCCAAGTACAATTCACTAATACAAAATAAATTTAATAAAATCAAAATTAAAAATTTACAGGCAAGACTTACCCCCTTCCATGAATTCTTGACATATTTCTTCTACGCTCTTCTTTTTCACGAGGTTTAGTATGTTCTCCAACTCAGATTGATGATCCAACTCAGGTTGAACATCCATCTTTAAAATACCTTAGAAATATACTCCCTCCGTCCACCTAAGATCTTCCCATTACGCGTTACGAGGCTTGACCGACTTTATTTTCAATTCAATTTAATTGATTATGGGAGTAAAATTTTAAAATAAAATTTATGTAGTAATAAACTACAAGTAAAGTTCTACAAAACTAGAGGTGACAAGACTATATTATTTTACGAAATGACTAGTAAAAATGAGCAAACAAAGTGAGTAAAGTTTGACCCTGTGAATAGTGTCTGGGAAGATTTATGGTGGACAGAGGGAGTAATAAATATAAGAAAATGACTAAAAATTGTATGGTAAAGATGAAAGAATGGGGCTGTAAAACCCTAGCTCACCTCTCTTTTCTGATTCACAAAGAAGCAATAGAGATAAAGATAACAATAATTGAAAAGTAAATGAACCTGAACTACGAATTTGGGATGTGCTTGCTTCCTCAAGTAGAAAGATCGAATGAGTTGGTGCAGAGGAAATATTGAAATGGGTGCAGAGGAATAATTGAAATGGGTGCAAATTGGAATAGGTACGGTGGTTGGAATATGGAAAGCTATTTTGATGGGTGGGTGGCTGATTAATTGTTAATAAAAGGGCAAGATGGGAAACATAAAAAAATATATTAGGAGGGTGGAGCGCCACTAACAAAAGTGGAGCGCATATATCAATTCCCAAAGCGATGACCTCTCATAAATATTTCTTACAGCGGTTAAGATCCCCATGTTTTGTTCGAATGAGGGGTTTGAAAACGCACTTCAAAGAAGCTAATTACGAAAGTGACTGCGAATGACCGTATTTATACTATGAATTTTTTTCTTATTCTACTTTCCTTTTTTTGAAATTTATTTTTTAAATACAATGAAATTATTCGGCAAAATCAGTCATTTTACTTACAATTTCAACATTTGTGTTTCCACCTAACTTTTTTATAACTAATGTGTATTTTTTTACAACAAGAATCGTGTATAATGAAATTACCTTATTTAAAATACCTATAAAGTATAAATGGAAACACAAGTAAGTTAAAATCGTATTTTTTCACACTGTGACTATAATTTCCATACTTTAAATTCCATTGTATTTTTGACCGTCTATTTTTTATATAATTTATAATTTTGGAGAAAAACAATACTCCCTCCGTTTCCCAAAACTTTTCTTCTTTCATTTTTTTCGTTTTTCTTAAAACACTTCCTCTTTTACTTTTTTTTCCTAAACTACCCCTAAACCTAATTTTACCCAATCCCCTATCCCACCTTATCCAACCCATCGTCACAATCCCACGCGTCATCTAGAAACATCCGCCCTTCGTTCCCCTGGCGATTCTTCTCCTCTCCTCACCTTTCTTTTTTCAGAACCAGATTAGCTTCATATCTGCTTCCTCTTCTCCAGATCTGACCATGCCCTCATTTCGCTTGCTCTCTGATAGCGATGAGGAACAACCTAAGCCGCATCGTACTCAGAAATCTTTGAGCAAGCGCAAACGATCCATAGCTGCCTTGAAACATCATGTTGATCTGCTTCCATCAAGTTCATCTGACACTGATCCTTCGTGGAATTTTCGGAAAAAATACCTAGGGGGTGAGCATCTCCCAGATGGAGTTGAGTGGGGATCAGATCTTGAGTCTTCATTCAACACTGATGAGATTCAAGAAATGAGCTCGGAAACAGAGGTGTTGTTGTCCGAGCCAGTAGGAAGTCCATCCAAAATTGAAAGATATAAACAGAGTAATGTCCTTTAATCTTCTCTCCTTTACACTTTGCGCATATGTCTTGCATGTTGTTTTTGGGCAAACTAATGATGCGAACAAAAATTAATCTTAACGTTAATGAAAGTTTCCTAATTGTAACGCCACCCCATTTTTGGTTTGGAGGCTTACAAAGGTCAATTATGGTTAGATGTTTGGTCAGACATTAGTGAATGTGTTTGTGGAATTTCTTCTGTGTGGTGAAGATTATGTTTCCCTCTTTTGTTATGGTTGCCGTGTGACATGTAAAGCTAGAAATTGGGTTTCTGATTTTGGCATTAAGTCATGATGGATGTGAGATGTGTGGTATATATCATGTGTGAATATCTGATTCTTTAGTGTCCCTATACTTTGAGCTCTCTTTCTTTAACTGCCTATGATGGATTTTGAATCTGTGGTTTCCTATGTGGTTCTCTAAGGTAGTTTATCCCTAAATGGCCTGTGCGCTTTTCTTTGCTGCCTATGATGGGTTAGAAATGTGTTCTACCCTATGTGTTCCCTGAGGCAGTTTGTCCCTAAGCTTTCATGTCCCTCTTTTTACTGCCTATGATGGATTTTGAATCTGTGGTTTCCTATGTGGTTCTCTAAGGTAGTTTGTCCCTAAATGACCTGTGTGCCTTTCTTTGCTACCTATGATGGGTTCACTACGTCAAAAACAGATGCTGACAACTGTTTCTTTTAGTAGTCTCTCAGTGCTGATTTCAGTAGTCTTCCGAGCAGCTGTCTGATATATTTACAGACTATTGTTTAAAACAATTGTGTAAAATGGTTGACGACACCTGTTTTGTAATGTTTTAGAGTACCACTTTTTAGTGTTGTCCCCGTATGAGTAAGACATCTGTTTTTTAGAGTTAAAGAGAACTGTGATTTTTTGTTGTTTATCTATAATTAACACTACTGTTGTTTTTAACTTCAGACTCTTAATTTTTGGCGTTGTCGTTCAACAATATAGACATCTACTTTAAAAAGTAATTGAAAGATATATCAGACAGCTGCTCGAAAGACTACTAAACAAAAATAGGATTAGACAACTGTTATCTTTTGTTGTATTTCTAGAATATGGACTACTAATTTTGCTATATTTTAAACAACCGTTTCTTTCAGTTGTATGGTGCTCAATAACACTGCGTTTTTTTATAGTTGTCCTTGAAATATTCAAACTATCATTTTACACACTAGTCAAATTATAAATCAGACTACTGCGCCGAAGACAACAAAGTATGTTTGCATAAACAACTGCTATTATGTGTTGTATTTTTAAAATGTAAACAACCTTATTTGTTGTATTTCATACAACTATTTGTTTAAATTGTCTAATGTTTATTAACAATTCAAGTTTGTGTAGAAAACTGTTTAAATACATTGTAAAGCTTTTTGAAAGACTACTATATTTCAATTTACAATTATATTTAATAATTAAAATTTATTTCAATTCTAAAATATTGATCATGAAACAAAAATAAATTCCAAAATGTACAATATATTGAATAATATCTAAATACATACAAATATACAATCCAAAATCTTAATAACATCTAATAATTTAATCTTTACATAATTAAAATCACATTCTAATTGTCCATTGAGCATGCCTAATTTAGTTATTTGTCCCCTCAATAACATCCAGCATTGAATCAGGGGAAAATAGACCTTCAATTCTTGATGCCATTGTGACCATGATAATCTGCAAGCAAAACATATATGAGTTGAATCACCAAAAGATTAACCTAACCGAGGAAAAGAACCTTCATGCAAGTGACTAGTAGAGGTTTGTGATTAATCTGCAGTCATATCAGTATGATTAGGAGTATTGCCTTTATGCTCACTTAAACAAGTGATAGTATTAAAATCACTGCCAATAAACCATTGGTGTGAAATGACAGAGGTGTCAATAATATTTTTCNGATCCCACAGCCCGTGCACTGCTTCCAGCCTGCAACACACTCCATACTTCGTTAATATTCTCAACTCTAGCTTCTACTATTCCCGGTATGTGATGAAATTTACAATAGAAGATATTACCTATGAGTATACTAAAACACACACATGACCTTAAAATAGCTCCAACAATTATCCTAAATAGTTCATAAATTAGACCTTAATATACTCTAATGAGTCAAACAGTCTCATTAAGCATGCTGTGCCGCAGCAGACATCTATTCACAATCAAAGCTAAGTCACAATAGATGCAGATTTTGTAGCTTTTCATAAATCCACAACTGTTAGGCTTTAATGAGAAAAGCCTAGCGACATTTACATTTTCTTAACAGATCCGATTGAAACTAGAAGGAAACTCACAACTCCAGTTGGCGATTGGGTAGTGAAAAGAGACATTGCAGATATAGCAGATATCGCCGGAGTCGCTGCCCAGACGCCGTCGCCGGCCTGCCTTCTAGACACCTTCGCTGCTATTTTCGCCGGAGCAGAGGATGCTCGCTGGACTCCCCACTGTTTAATTCACCGGAAAAGATGGAGGCCACTCCCCCCCTTCTCGCCGGTGGAGATCACACCCACCACCCCTCTGTCTGATCGGAAATTCTCCACCAAAGATGGAGGTCTCCCGCCGCTGACCATTCTTAGACGTCGACTGGCCTCGCGACATCGCCCTTCCCGTCGCTGCTGGACTTCGCCGGGACAGAGGGAGTCGCCGGAGCTTGCTGCGGGGGACGGTGATCGGAGTTCGTCAGAGAAGGAAAACTGGCTAGGTCTAGTGGCGGCGTGTCTCGATCGGGGAAGAAGGAGGCGTGAAAAGAGTATATATATGCCTAGGGTTTTGCTCTTTGTAATTTAAAATAACGTGTCTGAGTAAAACACACCTTTCGGGCCAACTTGCTCCGAATTGAGATCTGTTTGCATCGTTGGATTCGATTCGTCGATCCCTACCCAACAGTATAATTTTTCTAATCATTTAACAAGCACTTATAGGTTTCACCTAGTCCGTCTTAATTCTCTCGATTAGTTAGTACCGATCAGTCTTTTACGACAAAATTCATAAACTTTGACCACTAAAATAAAATTGACTTTAGATATTGATACCAAATAATTTTATATTTATTTTATAAAATACTTTCAAAATATTATTATTTCTAAAAGATTATTGTATTTCAAAAAAACACAATAAGATCAGATCAATTTAACATGTTTGTATGTTGTTTAGATGATATCTAATGAAATCAAATCTTATCATATTATATTAGACTATATCAAATTAAAAGAGTTTTTAACATAACTAATCGGACTAATTAGATCAAATCGGACAAAAACAGATCTAATCAGAATAAACCAGATCAAATTAGAAAGAGTTTTAAAATATAACTAGAATCAGATCAAGCATATTAGATCTAATCAGATAAGATAAGATCAAATCAAATTTAATCAGATCTTATTGCTTGCATATTTCATGTGAGCCACCCCATCTCGACTTAACATGTGTATATGTTGTTTAGATGATATTTAATGAAATCATATCTCATCATATCAGATTAGACTAGATCAAATTAAAAGAGTTTTTAACATAACTAATCGGACTATTTAGATTCAATCAGACAAAAACCGATCTAATCAAAATGAATCAAAGTCAA